AAAGAACCCACTTCAGTAAAATGTCAAAGAGTGTCAAAAAGATGTTAAGTCAGCTAAGTTAGATGATTTTGTAATGACAGTTTCTCTTCAGTGTCTATATCATATCAAGTCTTTTCTCTCTCTACTATTTCAGATAGTGGCAAGTGGATCTTGTCATGTCTCTCCTATTTTCCTCTTGTTTTTATATTCGTCTTATCTGCTCTGCCATGAAAGATGCAAAAATTGAACTGTCACTGTAAATGAAGGAAATAATATACTCAAACCTTCACAACATGTTTCTTTTGTTTCTTCTTTCAATGTAAATTTTATGGTGTTAGCATAGTGTATAGTGGCGCAGTTTTTGGGTTGCAATACTCTTCAAGCTTCAATGGCTGAATGAAAAAGAATACTAGAGTCTTGCATTATTATTGATCTGTTCTTCACACGCGGTGGCAGGTTCTCTCTTTGCTTTCCTTCTTTGCGTCCTCCTCTTATTTAGAGGTGAACTTGTGGGATCAAAGAATTTTTTAAAAAAAACTAGTGTGAGAGCTCATGGGATCAAAGATTCTTTAAAGAATGTTGTATAGCTCATGATTTTTTATGTCCCTTTCTTTGTTGTGGAAGGGCGTTAGTCCAAGAGGATGTACCCGGGGAAATTTCTGGCAAGACGATTGAGCAACCGGAGAAGAGTTGAGTTGAACACGCCATTTCGAGACGTGTTGGAGTACCCATGTGCTCTGTCAGTTTGTCATGGTCGTGTGTTTGAATGTGTGGTGTAAAAGATGAGAATGGAATTGTATTGGAAATGATTAAGAGTATTGGAGGCTTGTGCAACAATATGCCTGTAGTTATAATTTGTAATATTTGTTGTTATAATTTATAATATATGATGTGTTGCCTTGTTTTAAAAGTTTATTTGGTATTTTTGTATTCAATAAATTTATTTTTTATTTTAAAGGGAGAACTTGAGGACTAAGGAAAACATTATAGTATCATTGTTGATTGTTAATAGTTTGATTGGTTATACAGAAAAATAGTTATTGCGCGTGTCTAAAAGTATGAAGTAATAAAAAAAATTATCAATTATAAATATATTTATATTTACACTCAAAATTAAATCACAAACATAGAGATGATATAAATGAATTCAAGCGGTGATAGTGGTGGTGGGTAATAGTGGAGGTGGTGAGAGACGATAATGATTGTGGTGGGCAGTGGCGACTGTAATATTGGTGGTGGCCGTGGGTGGAAACGGTGATGGTGGTGGTGAATTTTGGATGATGATTGTGGTAATGGTAGGCATAGGTGACGACGGTGGTAGTGGTGTTGGTGTGAGTGGTAGAGGGCGAGGACAGTGTTGGTGGTTGGCAGTGGTGGTGGTGATGGCGCAGTTTACGATGGTGGTGGTGTGTGTAATTGGTGGTGGGCGACGACGAGTGCTTGTAGACGACAGTGGTTGTGGGTGGTAGTGAATTGTAGTGGTGATGGTAGGTGTAGTGGGAGTGGATGACAGTGGGTGGCAACGGTGACGAGGGATGACAGGTGGTGGTGGTAGGTGTGTTGGGGGTGGGTGATGATAGGTAGTGGTGATGGTGGGCGACAACGGGTGAGGATGGTTATGGTAGTGGGTGGTGTGGACAACGATGCCGATGATGGGCAACAATGGTGGTGAGATGATAGTGATAGTGGTAATAAATAAAATAATAACGTGATCATAATAGTGGGTGGTGGTAGGGTGGTAGTGGTTGGGCTGTGGTAGGGTGACGGTGAGGCGATGGGGGGTGATGGTGGTAATGGGACTAGTGGGGTGGCGGCAATGGCGGTGGTTATGGAAAAGGTGATGGTGGGGTGGCGGCGGTGGTGGTAGTGGTGATAATTGTGGTGAGGCGATGGGGGGTGGTGGTTGTAGTGGTGGTGTTGAGCGATTCCAAATACTCATTTGTTTTTTAAAGTACTTTTGAGAAGTTATAAGTTGTAGAAGTAATTTTGAAAAGTCCCCCAAGACATACCCTTAAAATGTCTATTTTTCCTATTAATTTTGAGGAGTTAATATTAACTGTCGGATTAACTTTAATATAAAATTTAAAATGATCTCAACTACAAAAAATAAAAGTAATTTCGTTAATTTTTTGATATATGTATTGTCATATACTTTATTATATAAATTAAGGGTAACCCATGTCTGAAGGCACGATGCAATATGAATAATTTTGAGAGAAGTGTTGATGGCTGTCGGATGAGTCTATTTGAGACCATAAAATAGACTTATTAAAGCATGTATTGGTAACATTTTTGTTTTTATGTTTTTTTTAAAGAAAAAAAACAAATTTTTATTTTTCTTGTGATAATAATTAAAAATATAAAATATGTTTGATAGTTATTTATATTTAAAAAATTATAAAAAAAATGATTGGTATTATACCAAAAATTCACCACCCAACACCACATAAATCCACCACTAACAACCACCCAACCTCACATCTAACCACTGAAAATCTACCACCCATCACCCCCAAACCACCTGAAACCCACCACCCCCACCCCGAAAACCCACCCTACCACCTACCCCCACCCCCGAAATCCACCACCCCCAAACCACCACCCCACCCCCGAAAATCTACCACCCATCACTCCCAAACCACCTGAAACCCACCACCCCCACCATGAAAACCCACCCTAAAACCCCCCAAGCCCACCCCCAAAAACTCACCTTAAAACCCCCCACCCCCAAACCACCCAACCCCACCCACGAAAACCCACCATCCCCCACCCTCGAAAACCACCACCCTAAAGTTAGATAGTCTACCGGAGCTCTTTGACGAAGAGGCAGAGTCTTCAGTTGGCAACGGCGAAGGCGATGGGGCAGAGCATTCGACTAGGCAAAGACGTTGGTTGGAATTTGAGAAGATGAAGAGAGTTTCCTTCATTTTAGTTTTTTATATGGTGATGGAAAAAAAAAAGTTTTTTGTTGTTAATGAGGTTTGAAGTCTATACCTCATTAAATGAGACTCTCTATCTTCTGCTTTTTTTTTGGATATTTTTAAAAACATCATTTTAGATGTTTTTAAAAATTGGTATTATTTTCAAAATGAATCAGCAACAAAAAAAACGAAAACATTTACTAAACATATTTTTATTTTCATTTGTCTCAAAAATCGAAAAAAAACAAAACAAAAAAAAAACCGAAACTTGCGGTTACCAAACACAACCTTAGCATGACAGCGATCGATTAAGTACATATTTTAAATCTCCATTTTAAGTCTATGCAACATTGTTCTTTTTTTTTCGACAAGGAAACTAGTTAAAAGGTTGACCAACCTTAAACATGTATTTTTTATATGCATTTAATATTATAGTTAATAATATAGATTATATTTATATTTATATTTATATCTATACTATTTATAGGTGTCTAAATCTAAGAAATTTTTTTGATTTCTTATTTTATCCTTAATTATTATAATAAAGTCAATTATACCCACCTACATAATTTTATCTAATTTTATTTTTTATGTCTATTTAACATTTAACTTGTTTTGCACTCTTTTACAAGAATTTCTAAATTCTTTTGAACTCATTTATTACTAGGACACTTACATACAATTATCTATACATACTATATCAAGAAGGAATTCCTATATAGTCAAATATATGTTATATATTTTTTGTATGTAATAATATAATAATTTTAGAAGTTATTTAATAAACATATTTAATAAAATAGAAATTAATAATTCTATAATATATAAATAGATGTTAAAATGTTTAAAAAGATTGGAGAGATACATAAATAAATGTTAGATTAGATAGTTAAAAACATAGAATAAATAAACAATTAAATTTAGCAATATTTAAAATATGAATTAATTGTTCAGCACCTAATTTATTATTTAATTTAATTACAAATATAATTCACATTTTTTATAAAAATAATATCATTTAAATTTATTTACGTACAACGCACGTCGTACGTTGCTAATATTTATAAAAGTATAAAACTAATTATTATTAATCCGATCTTTATCTGTTCCAAAGAATAGGACGATAAAAGTTTGAACTCGTGACCTAACGATCAAACAGCGAGTTGCTGTGACCATTATGACAACCATTGATCCCCAAAACTTGTAATACTTAATAATAAGATACCACATTTTTCAAAACTTGTAATCTAGTCATTGTACATTATAATCTAATAATACAAAATTCATTACAAAAAACCCTATCCTAAAATATCATCTTTTGTGTATGGCTCCCAATATATGACTAACCAAATAACATACTCCACAATATCAGATAACTCTACTAACTCACATGCATCTCTCTTTCCTACATCTCTTTTCTCTCTCCGTTAACTCTCTTTTAATTTTTTCTTTATCCATTCTAATTTTAAATTACATAATTAAATAAAAGAAAGAAAAAATAATTTATTGATTAAAATATTTTGAGTAATGCTATTGGGATGAGGATATTGCTAATATATGTATAAAATAGTTAAAAAACATGTTTTACGGTTGATGATATCCATCATGGAGTCATATGGCGAAGACCACCCAAGGAAAGATACCCAATTTGACCTAGGACAATAAATGGAAAGAGGTGCCGAGAGAAGTTAAAATTGTTTACATTCATTTTGGATCTTCTCAAGCTTCGAATAGAGTTTAGTAAATCCATTTCATGAACTGCTGGCTTGTCAACCAGAAATCATCAAAACATCTGCATAGGAATGAGCCAAATTGTGGCATCAACAATCATATAAGCCAATTCAACCACCTATATACCTACCATACACATACACACGCCATGGGGGGGCAGTGGCAGTCATACACTGTGTATTGTGTGTGAGAGAGAGAGATGAGAGAACATGTAAAGCCCAAGTTTAGCTACAAAAACAAAGAAGAGCGAATAAAACTTGAAAGATCATAGCTTCATTGGTATATAAAGCAAATAGAAGCATATTGCATAGTTTTAGCTCACATCTACTGTAGGTCTTTTTCCAATTAAGCCATCTTCTCACTATTGATTTATTGGGTGGTGGAGTGATAGCTAGGCTTTCCGGGCGGTGAAGAGTCATATAGGGGATCTGGTCCACCAGGCACTTGTCTCAAGGATCCTCCGACACTCATGGCTGCCTTCAGTTTGGAGAAATCATACCCATATTCACGTAAAAGATTAGGACTTTCCTTACTTCCTCTTTGCAGGGGAACACGCTCCTGTGAAGCCATGAGAAGTGTCCCAAAGACAACTATGAACAAAAGCGAAATTGTCACAGCAGTTTTTTGGCCATAGATGCTGCTAGGAAAATAGGAAATGGATCGATGAAGTAGTTTACTTGCTTCTATATATAGGACTACTACATGCAAGTGGGATTACAAGAACTTGAGCTAGCAAAGATTACAACATTATAAACCAATTACTCTCCGGAAATTTGTTTTACAGACAAACACGATGCATCTTAATGGCCTCCAATTGCGTTAAAGCCTACTTTTGGTGGTTTGCATTAACTTCAAAGTCTCTCTCTTAAAAAAAATAATGGTCGTAAAAATTACACCACGTTTTCATCCTAACATAATATAATCATCCACTAAAAAAGTAACATATAAACAAGTGGATCCTATGAGAGCCAAAATTTTTCATACTCACCATGTACCGGACTAGCATTGCCATTGCCATCTGGTATTCAACACCAATTAAAAGAAGTCGCTTCAGTAAAATGTCAGATAATATCAAAAAGATACCGAGTAGCTAAGTTAGGTAATTTCGTAATGATAGTCTCCCTTTGGTTTCTATTTCATCCTAAAAATCTTTTCTCTCTCTACTGAGATCCTGTCATGTCACTCTTATTTTTCTCTTGTTTTTTTATTCGTCTCATCTTCTCAGCCATGAAAGATTCAAATTTCACATTTTTGCCCCTAAATTTGAAATTAAACTGTCACTATAAATGAAGGAAATAATATACTCAAACCTTCACAACAGGTTTCTTTTGTTTCTTTCTTGAGTGTGTGAAATTCAGCCATCATTTCGCAATTTCTCTAAACGCATCATTTTTCTCTCTTTTTACTGTTGGATCTCCATGGCTCATACTCAATTTTATATTTAGTTTTGTTTCAATGTAAATTTTATGGTGTTAGCATAGTGTATGGTGGCGCAGTTTTTGGGCAGCAATACTCTTCAAGCTTCAACGCCTGAATGAAAAAGAATACTGGAGTGTTGCATTATTATTGATCTGTTCTTCACACGCGGTGGCAGTCTCTCTCTTTGCTTTCCTTCTCTGCGTCCTCCTCTCATTTAGTGGTGAATATATTGAATCAAAGAATTTTTTTTAAAAAAAAACTTATGTGAAAGCTCATGGGATCAAAGATTCTTTAAAGAATGTTGTATAGCTCATGATTTTTTGTGCCCCTTTGTTTGTTGGGGAAGGGCGTTAGTCCAAGAGGATGTAACTGGGGAAATTTCTGGCAAGAAGATTGAGCAACCGGAGAAGAGTGGAGTTGAAACCGCCACTTTGAGACGTACTGGAGTGCCAATGTGCTCTGTCAGTTTCTCATGGTCATGTGTTTGAATGTTTGGTGTATACGATGTGTTGCCTTGTTTTAAAAGTTTATTTGGTATTTTTTTTATTCAATAAATTTATTTTTTTATTTTAAAGGGAGAAATTGAGGACTAAGTAAAATATTATAGTATCATAGTTAATAGTTAATAGTTTGATTAGTTATATAAAAAAACTAATTATTACCTATGCCTTCAAACACGAAGCAAAAAAAAAATTTAATTATAAATACATTTGTATTCACACTCTACAATTAAATCATAAACATAAATGAGAAAAAAAGAGTTTAAACATCGGTTGTAGTGGGGGGATGAGCAATGATAGTAGTGGTGGATGACAGTTGTGGTGGTGAAAGACGGTGATGGTTGTGGTGAGCGTCGACTACAGTGGTGGTGGATGATGATGGTGGTGGGTTTTGGATGACGATTGTGGTAGTGGTAACCATGGGCAATGATGATGGTAGTTGTGGGTGTGGCTAGTGGGCGAAGGTGATGGTGGTTGGTAGTGGTGGTGATAGGGCGACAATAGTGGTGATGACGGTGGTGTGTTGTGGTGATGGACAGTGACGATGGTGGCGGTGGGTGTGGGTGGTGATGGACGACGATGGGTGCTTGTGAGCAACAATAGTGGTGGGGTGGTAGCGAATTGCACTCGTGCTGATAGGTGTGGTGGGGGGTGGGTGACAATGTGTGGCAACGGTGGTTGACGATGACGGGGAGTGTTGGTAGTTGTAGTAGGGGGGTGGGTGATATTGGGTGGCAGCGATGGTGGGCTACAATGGGCAGTGGTGGATTGTGGTAGTGGTTGGTGGTGGGCAACGATAGTGATGGTGGTGGGCAACGAGGGTGATGGTGAACAACGATGGTGGTGGGCAACGTTGGTGATGGTGAGTGACGGTGGTGGTGGGATGATAATGATAGTAGTAATAAATATAATAATGAGATGATCATAGTGATGGGTGGTGGTGGGGTGGCGGTGGCAGTGGGTCGGTGGGGGTGTTGGTGGTAGTGGTGGTGGTGGCAATAATGGTGGGATGACGACAATAGTGATTGTTGTGGCAGAGACGGTGGTGGTAATAATTAATGAATGTTAGTGGTCGAAATCGTCGGGATTTTTATATGCCTATGAAATCGTCGGATGAATTTATATATATATATTATAGTTTATAGATATTATAATATCATAGTTAGACTTATTTGTTATGAAGAGTTAATTAATTTTTTTCTTATTTGTATACATTAAATTTATCGATATTTAATTTTTTTTTGTATTTATAAATTTTTAATATCAATTAGAATCAATAAATTTGAATATATTCAGGGGATGTCACCTAGCAAAATGTCAGAAAAATTCAACATATTCATTAATTTAGCAGGTAATATTTTAAACAAAAGTAACATCCGAATTTAATGAGATAAATCTGTAACATTAAAGTCACTGTACTATTTTTCAAGTCTTTTGAGCATTAACAATTTTTTTTTCTTTTTTAGACTAGGAACCAGTTAAAAGGCAGGCCAACTTTAAACATATATTTTTTATATGCATTTAATATTACAGTAAATAATTTAAATTATATTTGTACCTATATCTATACAACTTATAATCATCATCTGCGATAAACTATTGATTACTTATTTTATCCCTAGTTATTATGATAAAGTCAATTATACCATTTATATAATTTTATTTTTTATACCTATTTAACTTTTAAGTTATTTTAAGCTCTTTTATGAGGATCTAAATTCTTTTAAATTCATTTATTACTAGGATGCTTACACACAATTATTTATCTATATCTATATGAAGAAATAAAATACTATACATCCAAATATATGTTATTTTTTTTTGTATGTAATAATATAATAATTTTATAAGTTATTTAATTAGCCTATTTAATAAAATAAAAATTAATAATTCTATAATATATAAATAGATATTAAAATATTTAAAGGGGTTGGAAAGATAACTAAATAAATAATAGATTAGATACTCAAAAACATAGAGTAAATAAATAAATACGAACTAATTGTTCGGCACCTAATTTATTATTTAATTTAATTACACATATAATTTAATTTTTTTATAAAAATAATATCTTTTAAGTTTATTTATGTGTAAGACACGTTGTGCATTACTAGTATTTATAAAAGTATAAAAAAAATTGAGATTAATCTAATCTTTATCTCTATTTTTAACTGTTATCGGGTAGGGATCGGTGAAGTTCGAGTTTGCAACCTAACGGTCCAACGGTGGGCTGCACTGACCATCAGGCAAACAAATGATCCTCAAAACTTGTGATATCTAAACTAATAAGATAGAGATAATTTTGAATCCATTTTTACTTCAAAATTTAATCTAATTTTAATTCATTTGCAAAAGCACAAGCATAGCCCAGATTTCATCCTAGTTTTTCCAACTTAATCTAAAGACTCACAATGCATCCCATCCAAATATCAAATCCCGCCCATTTTAACCCCACACACACACCACCTCCACTCCCAGGGGCGGAGCCAAGAATTTTCTCCAGTGGGGACAACAACAATCAAAATTTCAAATGTTCACAAAAATATACTTTTGTTAATAGAGCGTCGATTAAAGGTGCAAATCATATACATGAGCAATATAGAAAAAGAGCCAACCAAAAAAAAAAAACTCACTATAAATTTATTTATAAGACCTAACAAAAAAAATTTGAACAAAAAAATTGGGCTCAATCATATATTGAGTCTATAATGAGAGAATTTAAATTGTCAAACATCTTATAAATATTCATAGCTGCTCCTAATGAGTTTTCAAATTTTGAAAGCGTTGTATGATAATTTCATTATCGATGATATTTAAAATTTCTTTCTCGACATATGTAACCAAGCAATTGTTTATAATTGATCTCTCGTTCGATTGTGCAATTAATGTTTTAAAAATTAATTTGTTTAGTCACAAACTTAGTATTCATCAGTGAATTTCAACAAATAATAGAAACTAACTTAAACTATAACTATTCTATTAAACTAAACCTAGGTATAGGAATTACTTAACCTATCACAATAAAACTATTCAAACCATCAAATCAAAACAATTTAATGAAACACATAATGGAGGACTACACGCCCCAATTCCAATTCAACATATAAGAATAAAACAAAAGAGAGGGCTACAATCCCCAATTCAACATAAAAATAAAACACAAGAGATGACTACAAATACCAATCAATTAAATATATATAAAAAAATAAACAATAGAAGAGGACTATAAGCCCCAATTTCATTTTAATGTATAAAAATAAGTAGAGGACTACAAACCCTAATTTCAAGTTAATACATAAAACAATAAAACACAAAGGACTCGTTTGGTTGCAGTATTAGAAGTCTATGGATTAGATAAAATTGTGACACTCAAAAAATTCTGGGGTTCGTTGATCACCCATCAACCCGCGGAATGTCTATGGATATTGTGTAACTCGATATTGCGCCGTAATGTCCCATTTACCGGGATCCATAATTTAGCAAAATTCGGGCAGAGTCTCCTTTGTACGGGGAGCTCTACCCAAAACCCAATATGTGCAATATACATTCATATGACCCATCCGAGTCCCAATATAACACAATGACCGCACCGGATCCATTTATGAGTAAACATTGACCACACCGGGTCCATTTATCCATACTCATATAAAAACATGCAAGGTTATATTAAAAATAGTCGATATGAGTTTAATTATAACTCTCTTTCATAAAATTACAT